GCCTGCAAGTTGCCTAAACCTCTAAACCCTAAACCACCATCCTCAGCCAGTCTCACTCAGCATCGGTGTCCTAACTGGCCCAAAAACCCAAGGATATAAAAGTTGAAACTTTCAGAATCGACTACCTTAAGTTGAAACTTTCAGAATCGACAACCCCAAAAGTTGAAAAGTTGACTCTACAGCCAGAAAAAGCCAAGTTGCCTAAACCCCCAAACCCCAAACCACCCTCCTCAGCCCGTCTCACTCAGCATCGGGGTCTTCGGCTTCGGCATCTCCGGAAGGAAGCCCTCTTGGGTCCGAGCCAGGCTCGGGACCTTGGCGTTCAACGTGGGTTTCGGGCAAAAGAGTTTAGGGTTTAGGGAAAAAAGTCTAGGGTTTGGGATTTAGGGAAAAAAAAGTTTAGGGGTTACTGGAAAAATCTAGGGTTTAGGGCTTAGGGTTTAGGGCAAGGGCTTAGGGAACAAAGTCTAGTGTTCAGGGTTTAGGGAAAAAAGTCGAGGGTTCAGGGTTTTAGGGAAAAAGTTTAGGGTTTAGGTTTTGGGTGAAAAAGTTTCGGGCTCAGGGTTTGGGGGAAAAAGTTTAGGGCTTAGGGTTTAGGGCCCTAAACCCTAAACCCCTAGACGCTAAACCCTTGGGGGAATACTCTTTAACAACCCTGGGCTCAGGGGCTGAGGATGCTTCGGGTCTGGGGTCAGTTTTTGCCTCAATATGGGAGTTTCCGAAAATTAGGGGTACCATATTCTGGGGGCTCTTATAATTCAGGGTCCTGCTGTTTAGGGTACCATATTAGGGTCCCCTATTTTCGGAAACTCCCATATGTTTAACCAACCCTGGGGTCGTGCAGCAGGGCTTGTACTTTGGTGTCGTTTTTTGGCATCAAGACAAAAACAACCCCGGGATCAGTTTTTCAAATTTTCCCTCCTACTTAGCAAGGACGAGCCCGCATTGCAGACCCCAGGGTTTAGGGTATTTGCTTGGCCTTAGTGTTTGAAAAAATCCTAGGGTCATGTAAGGCTGGGGAATGCTTGGGGTTCTGTGCCATAGGTTTCGTAGTTAGCGGCGTGGGCTTAAGATTTTGGCTATGCGGCTCAGGAGCTGACCACGTAGGGCCACATGCCATGTAAGTATAGGATGCACGTGAACCCTTTTTGCTACTGGACTCAAGTCTAGCCAGTCTACGACCCGCAATCATGAAACCAAACCCTTTTGCCCAAAACCTAAGCGCTAAACCATTCCAAGGGAATGCCGTCCGAAAGGTGGGCAAACCCCTAAACCCTAAACCCTAAAACCTAAACCCTAAACCCGCCAAGGAGCTGTGGTACTGGCCGCAGTCGGAGGCCGCGAAGAGAAAGCAGAGATGGCGACGTCGGGATCCATGCCGTGCCTTCGGACGTGGGGTGCTGGGCTCTAGATGATGGGAGGCCCAAAGGGGGGTTGAAGATTCTTGGGGTAGGGATTCCTTAATATGAACCCTATTATGGGAACCCTCATCCCTACTAAACCCCCATAGGCTAAAACCCCCTTTTGGCCTCCTATGATTAGAACGTGGCTTTCCCGATGTACCCAGTGGACGCTTCAGTTCAGTTATTCGCAGTCACCGACACACCGTACCAAGTCGACATTTGCTTACACCCTTTTTACGCACGGACTTGCAGTGTATTTTGCTTACACCCTAAACTCAAAAAAAAACACAGAAACTGCACTTTGCAAGGAAACTTTGCGTTGGCGGTGGGGGGGATTCTGGGCTCGAGCGACCGTCTAACCACCCGGTGGGGGAGTCAGGACCCTGATTTAAAATTTGGAGGCTCCTAGAAATGAGGCGTTCTAGGGCTCTGGTGACTAGGGTTCAGGGGTTCAGGGCGCCTGCGAGGCGCCGAGGCTTGGAGAGCTTAGGCTTTCGACTTTTTTGGTTTTGGATGTAACAAGAATCCTTTCCTGCAGGATCTACGAGCCTTCTGTTCCGAAGATCGAGCTGACACAAACATTCGGGTTACGATTTTAAACTCGTACCAGGCAGGCAAGGCTACCATCAATCAGAAAGATGGAGGGAGGAGGTGGAGGCCGTCCTCCACCCATGACAACCATGCCTCATATCCAACATCACCGCGCCAAGTACAACAGATGAAGCCTATGGAGTTCCTTTGTGATGCTGCACTATCGCAATGAACCGACTAACATGCCAATGCAGTGATACGAGTGCGAGCACTACGACAACCGCCACGGCGCAAAAAGGGGCAAGACAATAAACTTCACGACAGCTCACCCTCGTGCCAGCGTTTTAAGCTGTGCAGCTGCTTTCCTTGGAAGGGTCGGGTCCACTAGGCACAAAAACTGCTGAAGCACCAGCAATAGAATCGTATCTTCGAGGAAGATGTGCAGACTCTGGCGAGGGCCTTAATCACGAAACGGTTGGGATAAATCTTTGCTGGAGCTCTACAACAAGCGCACTATGAGGTGACCTTCCTTCCCCCAATAGTGCGCACGGAGGTATCGACAAGGCATATTAAAATTTGGCCAACGAGGTCGAGAAAGACGTCCCGAGTACTAAGATGACTGCATGTGTTCACATTCAGAGGGCTTCGATGTCGCTGTGCTTCAGGTTGCTTTGGTATGCAGTCCGTTAGAGGTTGGCAGGCTTGCCAGAGAGTCTTTCAGCACGACATGAGTGACGGGGCACCAGTCAAGGACGTCTCTAACCAGCTGCCAGCGACCTTTGACTGCTCACTGTGTCCAGTCGGGATAGTCGAGTCCACACTGTACATCTCCATCCCCTCAAATGGCCAAACAAGTGTGTTGTGTTAGTGGCACGGCAGTGCCAGCACGCCACAGGGAGATGGCATCAAAACTCAAAACTTAGTTGTGGGTTTCTGAAAATAGGGGATCCCAACATTGCACCCTAAATACTACGATCCTTACTATAAGGACCCCCCAAAATGAGGTACCCCCCTCATTTTCGGAAACCCTCATCTGTCCAGCTGCTCGCGTCAGCATAGTGACACGGCAACCCTAGGCCCTGCAAGCTGAAACGCGAAACCCTTCGTCGTCTACCATAAGGGGCTTAGATATTTACCTATACTAGAGTATGTTTTTTGGGGGGGGAGCGGGGGGCGGGGGCCTTATTATGTAGAGTTATAGTATAATATGCCCCAGAACCCTACTCTAAATATTAAGCCCCCGTTTATTGCTCTAAGCCCAAAAAGCGAGGCGACAGAGAGAAGGCTGGCTCATACCTATAGTCTCCATTGTGGGCCTTTTTTTGGTTGACCAAAAACTATACTGTAGGATCCTAACCATAAAACTGGCTAACCAAAAACGGAACCACAATGGAGACTATAGATAGTTTGCGCTCGGCTGTACTCAACAGCGCAGGCACATGTTCTGGCCAGTGACTGTACAGGGTGCCCCAAAACCTGAAACCCTAAACTCTGCATTTACCGAACGCTGAACCCTAACGACCCTGAAATCCAAAACTCTGAACTCTGAGTTTACTGAAACCTAAACCTAAAGCCCTCGATAGGTGGCTGCAAGCCCTGAAGCCCCAAACCAAAAACCCCCAAAACCCCTAAACTCTAACCCCTATGAGGTCCCTGTTAAGGGCAGCCCTTGTAAATCCCTTTTTTAAAGCCCCCCAGAGAACTGACAGGTTTGGAGGTCCACCGCTGTGGAAACGTTGGAAAATTTGGGAATGCCTGGATCTGCACAGACTGCCGTCAGACAAACCCGAAACCCTAAAACCTAAAAACCCTGAAAACTGTGTTATACAATAAGGGAAATTATCCCAGGTCGATACCCAGTATCCCCTTTCTTGCATCCCTAAACCCGAAACCCTTACACCTAAAAACCCTGAAACCTGTAATTAACTCCCTAGACCTTAAAACCCTAAACCCTGAACCCGAAAAACCTGAAGACCCTAAACCCTAAGACCTAAAGACCCTGAACCCCTAAACCCTAAACCCTAAAAGCCTAAAGACCCTGAAATCTATCCTGAACCCGAAAAACCCTAAAAGCCTGATGACCCTGAACCCCTAAACCCTATAAACTCTAAAAGCCTAAAGACCCTGAAATCTAAACCCTATGGGTTTAGGGTTTAGGGTTTAGGGTTTAGGGTTTAGGGTTCTGTCTACAACCTAAACCCTAAATCGTAAACTCTGTCTATAACTTCCGTGGTCCGACAGTCCGGGAGCCCGAGGAGACGGTCACTCTGGTGGTGTTCGCTCCGGGGGCTAGCGGGACTTGCCCGGCTTGCCACCCAGAGAGCCCAATACCCCTTAATTAAGGAGTATGGCTTAAATTATATAGGGTTTAGGGTTGAGGAGACTCCAATATCCTTTAATTAAGGAATATTCTTTAAATTATGGTAGGATTCCTAATATGATTTAAGGTATATTCCTTAATTAAGGGATTTTGGAAGGTCTGGGTTGCTACCAGAAGAGCCTAATACCTCTTAATTAAGGAATACCTAGGGTTCCTTTAAGGGATCTATAGGGTTTAGGGTTCAGGAGACTCCAATATCCTTTAACTAAGGAATATTCCTTAAATCTTATTAGGGATCCTATAATCATTTAAGGTCTATTCCTGCTTTGAGCGATATTGGAAGGCCCGGCTTGCTACCAGAAGAGCCTACTTGGAGGGTCGGGAGACTTAGCAACTGGTTATTTTAGGGACTTATAAGTACCATAACCCCAATTAGGGTCCCTTTTAGGGTACTTATAAGTCTACTTACTGCCTACTTACTAAGTCCCCCGGCCCTCCAAGTAATACCTCTCAATTAAGGAGTATAGCCTAATACCTCTTGATTGAGGAATATAGCTTAAATCATAATATGAAGCCCTATATAATCTAAGCCATATTCCTTAATTAAGGGGTATTGGGCTCTCTGGGTTAACGCGTCCATCCTTGCCGACAAGGCTGAGGAAGTAGAGTCGCGACGTTTGGGGGGTATAGTAGCGATGCTATTACTATCATCCTGCCCCGTACGTGAAGTAATTATGGTAGTATATCTACAGAAATGAGGAACTCGAAGATAAGTGGAAGTACGCGAGCGCCGAGAGGACGAGGGAAACTAAAAAGGATCCACCAGAGTACAGGTGAGCCCAGAAAGGCCTCACCAAGCTCACGTGGCCTTCACTGTGGGCGGCCAGGGTGGCATCCAAGAATCCTGGAAAGCAGGGGGCAATGCCAACAGCCACGGCCAGCAGAGGGCGCCACTTTACGCCCGTCGATGAATAGAGCTCCTCCAGATCCAGAAACCGTGTCTGGACGATCCAGTAGTCGCAGAGCAAAACACCAGCGATAGCACCCGTTACCATGGCGTAGCCGTCGAGAAAGCTGAGCACAAAGGAGACCTCCCCAGAGAAGGTCCACCAAGGGCAAACAGCGAAAGAGAGGAGGAGGACGAAGAAGCCAGAGCCGCGGTAGGTGAAGCGCTTCGGCGCCAGGTTCATGATGTCGTTGATGGGCGAGGGGAGGTTGGCCAAGATGTTGACGACCAGGGTCCCGAAGGCCAGCACCAGTGCGCCAAGCACGCTGAGCACTGGATGCCAATGCTCGAAGACGGCGGGAAGCTGCCACACGGCACTGCCGAAGGCTACTTTCGTGGCTCCGGCAACCAACATCCCCACCACCAGGGTTGCCATAAAGGGCACCAGAACTCCCGCCATGTGTCCCCAGACATGATCCGACTGCCTGGGAGCGAAGCGGCTCAGGTCGCAAACCTGGGCTCGTGCTGAGGTATTTAATGTGAATTGCGTCAAGAAGGAAACCATGTTATTTAGTGTAGACTCCTATCATGGTATAACTTAAACTAAGTTCCTTAGAACATATCCCGTTTAGAGCCCTCAAAGGAACCCTACACTATGGCAACTTCAACTCAGCTCCTTCCTTAAAACCCTGAGCCCTAAATTCCGGTAACTACAACTCTGCAGGTTCCTTCAAACTCTAAACCCCTAAATAGACCCCAGGAGCGTTCAGCAGCAGCATAGACCAACTGCTGAGGCTTGTGTTCAACGCCCCCATGAAGGCCACAACCTCAGGGGTCCACATGAGTCCCCTTTGGGTTGAGGGTTCAGGGTGTTGGGCAGTTTAAGGGTTTGGGTATGGGTCCCCTATTGCTTTCAAAACCCCAAATTTCTTAGAACCTTGTACCGTGTTGTATAGTTGTTGTAAACCACTGCACACACGCACTGATAATATACCCGTCCAAGTGTTAGCAAACACAGCAGAATACCATTGGGTATCTACCTTTTTCCTGCTAGAGCACTTGTGCCACAATGCCGTACACACAACATGCTGCTTCACACGTGCACAAATTACACCCCCCTCGCCGAAGCGTCAGTCTGAGGCGCAAACATGCACGGAAGCTTGGTGCTGTGTGGCCTGCCGTAAAGGCGGCTGGATTGTGGCTCGGGGCTCATAGGCTTTCTACTACCGTAAAGCGGAAGATACGGAAGCAGATTAATTCTTTTAGCGCGCAGTTTAAAGTCGCGACATGCATTATAAAATGGCGACGATCCAGCAAGCCTTGAATGATGGCGTGGATACGAGTCGCAAGGCATGTGCAGCATGGGACGAATACATCATCCACTGGAGCTGCTGACGAATCCCCTCGAGGTCCAAAGACCTGGTGTCGGAGTTGTCACAAAGTGACTACCAGATGATGCAAGATGAAATTTTTCTGGTCTTAAGGAAATTCGGCCACCTCTAAGAGGGGCTGTATTTCGGAGTACCGGTTAACGTGACGGAACCACGAAATGTGGGTCAGGTACTTAGTACCATCCCCGGGAACCGGAGGAGCGGCCATAGGGGTGGGATCCTCGCTGGTAGCCGCGATCCCATCCCTGCTCCTGGTAGCGCTGCTGCTCTGCTCTGCGGGCATCAGCTTTGGCTTGCGCGATGCGAGAGCGTTCAGCGTTGCGCTGTCGCTCTTCGTATGCACGGCGTGCAATTCCGACCTGTTCCGCGAATTTCTCACGGAGCCACTCAGTCCAGTCCTCAGCAGAATAGCCGAGTCTTGGATCAACATAGAGTGCCTCTTCTGAGAAAGTAACAATCATCTTCACGATTTTGTGCTGGAGGAAAACATCTACGAATTTGCGCAAACTGTATGCCCCTCCCAGCCACATGATGCAAAACGGATCGTCACTCACTGCGGAGATCAGGCCTGCCCTAAGGGCGGCTGGATTGCAGTCGTGCAGGTAGAGCAACCGAGCGATCTCCTGGTTCCGTGGCCCTTCGGAGCTTCCACCATAGGTCCCGACAGCTAACTGTCGTTGCTCCTTTGAACGGCCATGGTTCGGCAAGGCAGCATGCGTAAGCACGTCTTCGATGGCCAGAAACTCTCGATCGTACCCATTGCCGATGGAACTCATTGTGTAGTCCACATCGTTATCGAACCGGTGTACGATGCTTGTGTAGCCTCCTTTTGTAGCCATCTTGAGCTGCTGCCGGGCTTTGTCCAGCGCCTCTGCGTCGAGCGACGTCGTTCCCCGCTGTGTTGAAGAATCTCTGGTCATTTCATGAATGACCTCCTCCGGTGTAAGCTGGGAACGTGGCTTGCCCGCAGCGGCGGCGGCTGCCTCTTCAGCGAACCAACGAGCCGAACGCGCTTTCTTGCGTGCGTTCTGCTGAGAAGGCTTCACGATGTGCACGCCACAGCTCAAGCATATCATCTGTCCCACAAGGTGTTGAGTACCGCAGTGGGGACATGCCCTGTGGCGGCCACCCGTAACGGGGGCTGGAGGGAGAGCCAAAGGAGTCGATTCCGGCTGAGGCGGTGCCTGCTCGAACATCGGCTCGATCTTAATCTCCTCCTCCTTTTTCACATCTCCTTCTTCAGGCTCGATTTCGATCTCGACTTCAACGGGATCTTCCGGCTCGAGGAAACGGACACGCTTTCTGGACTCAGTCGGTGCCTCCGGTGGAGAAGCACCCTCCTGGTCCAATGTTGTGGTTTCCTCCGGAAGGAAGTCGGATGCTGTGGCGTCGTTGAGTGCAAGAGGTTCTGGCGATGATGCTGGTGGTGCCACCTCAACCTCAACTTCGACCATAGGCTCGTCTGCTGTTGCAGACGCTGTTGTCTCGACCTCTTCATGGCCACCACTAAGTGGGGCTGAAGGTTCCTCCGGTACATCGGGGAACTGTTCCGGCTCAGCTGCTCCAGGATCGACAATGGGATCCTGGGCAGTCTCCGGGATGATGGTGTCCTCTTCCTCGCTGGACTGACGCGACCACAGAATGATGCCTTTGATCGTGTCCCTGATGTAGAGCACACAAGATCCTGGCACTGGGTCGCGCGTGAGTATGCCTTCGGAAGTTGTTTCAAACAGGTAGGCATAGCGGTTCACCTCCTGAGTGTCAAGAACAACTTCATAAGGAAGGTTTGCTCGGCTGCCAGCTTTATTCTCAAGCTCGCTCAGCGTGGCCTTCGCGAAGTAGTTGTGAAACTTCCCGCTCCGGTTGAAGCCAGCTGTGAAGCCAGTAGAGAGAATATTGAAAGCTGAATCATGCGTGGTTCGATGATACAGGCGTGGGGGAAACTCCCCAAGAGCAAGGAATGGCCTGCCTTGATAGGCGGCTGTAGGACCAAGCTCCTCACGCGTCTCGTTCGTGAACCAATGCAGAGCAATCGAGGAATCAGTCACCTGATCTTTGATGCGTTCACTGTGACCATGTGACGCACAAATCCACGACGGCCAAATGTCCGTCTCGACGAAGTCAGCACGTGGATCGGTGGGGAGGCCTGCCAAGTTAAACCTCGATTTGTTATCGTAGGCGACTATGGACAAGATACCTCGAGTTCCCAGATCCACACGGTGCTTCTTCCACATGTGCTGAATGAGGTCTTGGATGCGTACCCATTTGCCTCGCCGTGAGCTGAGCTTCACGTTCGACCCTCGGACAGCACCTGTGAGGTAGCGCTCAACATAGGGTTTGAGGCCTAACTCAGGGAGGTGGTCCTTCGGGATCGAATCGGGGAGGATCTGGACGATCTCGCTCCCCTCAGGATCCTCCGGACACACATCTTCATCGACGAAGCCACACATCTCCATCAGGTCCAAGTCATCTTGGAATTTCACCCCAATGTAGTCGTGTGGGCGAGCCCTTAAAAGGCCGCTGGAAGGGTCCCGGTCCTTCTTGGTCATGCCCTCTTTCGCAGCAGACAGAGTACGGTGTGACTCAGTGCGATAAGGGATGGCCTCGATGACATCGTCAAAGGACACCTCCGGTACGTCGCGAGATGATGCACTGCCAGATAGGCCACCACTAAGTGGGGCTGGATCCTTTCGCTCAGCACGGGCACGTGCTTCCGCCTGCTCTTTTGCACGCTTTTGCGCCTGTTCGCGAGCTGTGGCCCATTCCCAATTCAGGACATCCTGAGGTACCTCACGCATTCCAGTGACCGGGAGATCAGGTGGAGGAACATAAGGGGATTCCCATGGGTCAGGGCATTCATTTGCAGCTTCGCGAATCTCGGCCTGCCTTAAAAGGCGGCGGGAGAGCTGGGATCGATACAGCGCCTTGTCGAAGACATACTGCATGGAATATACCCGCGTTCCTTCTGGGTCGAAGGGGAAACGGCGGGCCAGCTCATCCAGCGTCTCTGAGGGCATCTTTGCGAATAAGTGGTCAGCTTGACACACTTTAATCCGCTGCCCGATAACAGAGGCCAAGGCTGCGCGATGCGTAGAGTCCTCGCGGAAGTGGTAGTGGTCGTGCTTTGGGATCTGGCATACGCTTTCTTTGAGCGAAGCGGTGTATAACCCCCTGCTCCTTGCGTATCCGAGGAATTTTCGGATAGCTGTTCTGTATTCCGCTGGCAGCCCATAGTCCAGTGGGTCGGCATCCGAGAGGATTTGTATCGACCCAACTGTTGGCCTGCCCTGAAGGGCGGCTAGACGGCCAATTTCACCGCACACACGTGCGGCAATGTCCGCCCAGATCCCTTCCGCGGCAACGCCTTCAGGACCAATCTGCCAGTGTGGCGTTCCTGGGTCGACGAAGACACCTCTGCGACCGCACAGTTCGTTGCCCATCCACACAACAACGATATCGACCTCGAGATGCAAGGGATTTAACGATTCGTTGATGATCTGCGGCAAGAGCGTGTGAACTGCCTCAACGATCGAGTGGAGGTTGCCTCCCCAAATCGCCTTTTGCCGGACATTCGTGTATTGCTGAAGGATATGACCAGGCCCCGTCAGAGCTTTAAAGTCTTCCGCCATCTCAACGAATGTTCTCGCCCCAGCCTTGAAAATGAGGGTAGAGTCGGAAACAATGATGCAGGCTTTTTCACGGCCACGGCTATCGCCGGGCTGGAAACGCGACAACCCCTCGTCGTTGATCCGTGCCACCTTAGGGAGGGCCTTATAGCCATGATCAACATCTCCCAGACACGTAGACAAAGCGGTTTGCGCGATTGCGCCTGTGTAGAGCTGTTTCACGCTCTCTTCCCAGTCACGGTCTGGGTTGAGTCCGAGCTCGTGTCCGAAGACACCGGCCCACATATGGTAGTGAGCCCACTCCCGCTTGATTGAGTCACCCGATGCGGCAATCGTCGCTGGCGCCGACGGCTTGTTCTCGCCTTCTGCTCGCACTCGGGGATCACTAATCATCTCTGGCGTGCTCTGATGAGCCGCTGCACAGGGGCAGGCAAGCACCTTCCTAAAGTTCGCAAGATTAGCAAGATGTGAAGATGTGAAATCCTCTAAATCATCATGATCTGCGACTTCGTGCTTGTAAGATGCCTTAGCGATCAGATGCTGGTTTCCTGAGCGGAAGCTTTCCTTAGCAAAGTTCGCAAGTGGCAATGCCTGGAGCCCTGCGCACACCAGATATGCGTTTTCAAGTCGTGCAACTTCGGCATTAATTCCGTCGAACATGAATTCGTCGACGGGCCCACACAAGAGAACACAGAAGTTACTGGAAAACAAGTGAGCCAATTCACCAATCTCAACAAGACTCCTTTGTAACCTCCTCAAGTCACCTTTAGAGAGCGATGTCATCACCACCGTGACAAG